CCCAGCAGCCATCATCCCCCCTGCCCCAGACCCTCCTTCGGCCCCCGGCCCCCACGAGGCCCCTTCCCGTCCGTGGATGAGTCTGTTCTGGACGTGTCACCCACGTGGACGCACACCCCGCGTGGCCTTCTGTGTCTGGTTCCCTCCCTGAGCGTCGTGGGCTCGGGGTCCGTCCCCGGGGCCGCGCCTGTGGGCGCCTCGCTCCTGTTGGCGGCCGAGGGACGCTCCCATGTGTGGTCGACCCACTACATGGATCTGATCATCTATTGACGAAGACTTGAGTCATTTCCTGCCATTTCCTTAAAAAATAAAACCAGTTATGTTTATAAATGGAGTCTACTTAAAATAAAATGTTAAGCAAGTAATAGTCTGGGCCATACATGTAAGGAAGTCGACAGGTGTTGGAGGGTCTCCCCCACTGGGGGTTTGGAGAGCTGGGTTCTCATCAGATCTCTAGCCTGGCCCGCTGTGGGAGCTTAGCTCCGTCCCTTCACCTCTCTGGGCCTGTTTCCCCATGTGTAAATCAGCTCCTTCCCTGTAGCATTCTGGGTTGGCCTATGGGCTGCCTCTACTTCCACGTGTGCAAAGGAGAAGGTGGGATACAGAGCCATCTGGGGCCTCCTCCTGACCTTCTGTATCAGTGTCCTGGGGTGCTGTAACAAATCACTGCACACTGGACAGATGAAATCAACAGCAGAGTCTTCTTCCCGAGGCTGCAGGTCTGAGACGCAGGTGTCATGGGGCGGGCTCCTGCTGAGGCTCCAAGGGAGGATCCTGTCCAGGCTCCCCTAGGTCCTGGAGGTGCCAGGGGGCCCTCGGCTTGCAGATCGGTCACTCTGAGCTCTGCCTGCATCTTACTGGGACACCTGTCTTGGATTTAGGGTCCATCCACAGGCTCTGGGGGTGAGCAGGTGGACAAACCCTTCAGCAAGGCCAGCATCTGACCCACTACAACTGGTGTCCAGTGGGTTGTGCTTCCCGGGCAGAGGTCATGTTTACTGGCAGACCCAAGGCTGAATCTGACCTCTGAGCTTTTCCCCCCACCATCTATTTAAAAGTAAAAATTCAATTTCTGGTCAATGTTTACAAATTAGGAGGTTTCACACAAAAGCCCTGGATTTCTGGTGTCTTTTTAAAAAAATCAGGTGTCTGGCAGCACTGGGCCCCTCTGGCTATGGAATATGCAGTATATGCCACCCCCCCCCCCCGCCGCCACTTCTGGTCGTGCACTGGTGGGACTCCAGAGCCTGAGGGTGTGGGTTCAAATCCTGCCTCTGACACCTACAAGCTCGTGACTTTTATTGAGCCTCCTTGGACCTGCGTTTCCTGAGGGTCACAGTTGTCACTTTGGCGTGGGTACAGAGCATTAAGAGAGGTAATTTGTCCTGCGTGCTTACGTGGTCAGTAGGTACTACTGTCTGTGGGTGCAGGAGCCCACCCTGACCATGTGCTAGCCTCCCCTGCCTGGCCCCATTGGCATCTGAGTTTTCCGTCCCTGTTCCCAGCCCTCCGGGGTGGCCCCATTGCATCCCCTCTCGTGTGAGCCCCCATCTCTCCAGTGTAGTTAAGTCATGCACCCCACCCTTCATCCAAGCAGGGGCTGGGGACACACTGGAGCAGTTAGAGAGGACTGGACATTAATCGGGGTGAGCCTGGGGGTGGTATGGGAATCAGAACCCCTCACCCTGGGCCTAGAACACCAACACCCGCTGCGCAGATGCCACACCCGGAGGGACAATACCTGTTGGGCAGCCAGCGTCCCACCAAAGCTGTCCTCTCAGTGAGAAAATCCACTCCTGGGAGCAGGGACCACAGCACATTCCCTTTGAGGTCCCACATGTCTAACACATGCCTGGCATATAGGCCATGCCCATCCATCTGTCCATCTGTCCATCCATCATCCATTTGTCCACTCAT